TTTTTCTTTGTTGATTCATTCCTCCTTGTGTTTGTGAGTTTTGATCCCTCGGACTTGGTTCCGTGAGAGGTAATCATTGAATTTTGATATGGTTTAACCATAGCCCCTAAAATCCTATATTATAATAAATTCATAGAAATTATTTTAAATATTTCAATTAAATAAATTTTATTTTATTTTCTTACTAAACCTAAATTCTAGATTTTGTTACGGTAATTGAAAGAGGTGTCAAGATTCCGTAATAACTCTCATGAACTAAATTCGTGAGATCAGAACTTTATATTTGTGACAAGGTCTAAGTTTAAAAAAATTATGTAATTTAACCATTGAAAGGAATTAAGACATGTTTGAAAGTGTATATCATACATTAATGCACAAGGAGGACTATTTAGTACAGTTATAATAAATCAATTTAAGATGTCAATACGGCTAAATTTGAATGAATTGGTGAATTTAAATTTGAATGAAAATGATATTTTATAAATCATTTAAAGAAATTCTATTAATTTACAAATACACGCATAACCATTATTATTATTATTATTATTATTGTTATTATTATAGTTACAACAACTATTATAAGTCCTTAACTTATTCATACGCATGGCATATTTACTTGTTGAATCTATGATTTGACGTGGCAAAAACAATTTGCAAAGTTTTTTTTTTTTTTGTACCAAAGAGGTACAACAATTAGTTAAAATAGATCAATTTATTTTCTCCATTAATATTTGGTCAGACTCACTTTTATTATCTCTCTTTAAACATCTTGACATGAGAAATGGAGGGTTTTGGTTAACAAACTTTCTAACTAGTCAAAGGTAAACTCTGCTACTTAACAGCAGTGTCCTTAGCTACCTACACAACTTACAATAATATTCCAGCAGGATCTCAAACTGCTCGAAACACGTTCAAAACTCTACAGCTCATGAGATGCGTGCATGTACATATTCCTAATCTTAGGAATAAGAAATAAACAATGCTACCTCTTCCCAGATTCCATGTCTTCCAATGTTGAACTAGCATTGCATGCTGAATGCATTCCCATAAACCCATCATCACTTCTTTCTTCTTCTTGGTTTGCAATCTGAACCTCCTCGGCTGTTGCATCTTGTTGATTCTCAACATCGGTTGCCTGTGTACTTGCAAGTGACTCCTCCAATACCTGAAAATAAGCGTATGGACCCCAACCTACAAGCATTTTTGTGTACAAGTTCAGATAACTTGGACATTCCAATCAGGAAGTATGATTACCTCCATTAACTTGATTAATGACCAGCTTTTCAACTTACTCAATATTGTTTGCCATTATACAGGAATATATAATCAAAAGCTAAGTCATAAATAAATAATGCATCAAGTATCAATGTCAAGAGTGACACAGGCACCGCATCATAAGTGGACAAGCAAGCTTCTGTTAGCTACCAAACTAGAAGTTGGCAGAAGGAAAGGGTGGGAAGGAGGCTTCTATGTGAGAGGGGAAGCAGCTTTCCTACAATGAACAGTCTTCATACGTCAAACTTCCAACCACACACTAAAACTTGAAAATAAAATCCTCCATGAAGATGTATATTTGTTTTCGGATCTAAATCTACTGAAAAAACATTCAGATTAAATGTTTCTATCAGCATTCCAAGTTTTTATTGCCAAAAGGAAGTATCATCACTAGTTTTTTGTCTCCCTGATTTAGCTGAATCAGCTAATTGACAAAAGAAGAAGAAGATTCCAGACATAACAAATAAAGCAGCACATTTAAAACACACAAGCAATAAAAAGCAAGAATCAGCCCTACAACCACTTAAAGATCACCACCAGCAGGGTTCTCTCACTTAAAGCAGAGATCCATGAAATAAAAGATAGGCTTTGTCTAATAACATGGAGGATGGAGTGAATCAAATCAAAGGAAACTGAAATAAAAAATCCTCCAGAAAAGGTAGATATTGCTGAAATTTAATAGAAACCATATTGAAAATTTTGCATAGTCTGAGATTCCTAAGTAAATCTGTTCCCCTTTTGCTCCTAAATCAGAAAAGATGTTGCTACCAACATTCCTGCCGTGCTTTTAGGAGTCTCATTCAGTAAAGCATTTTGCTGTAGGGTATGACACTATGTAGAATCAACCTTTCGATAAGACCAAAAGGATTGTGGAGCTTACCATCAGCATGATAAGGTGGTGGGAAGAACTGCAAATAGCAAAATGTAGCAACTACAAGCCCTGCAAAAGATGGTATATCTAAGGGAGGTTATATATAAAGTCATGAATGAAGACAATGTTCAAGGAACCAACCTAGGAGACCTCCAGCAAAGACATCCTGCCAATGGTGCCAATAATCATCCACTCGAGAAATGGCCACAAGCGATGCAACCAGTAGAGGAAGGAAGACAATGCATAGTTTTGCAACATGTCCTCTGCGGTCAAATGCTTTGACTTTTCCAGACAAGTATAGCGAAAGAAAACCCAGACCAGCAAACGACCCTAAAATTGAATCCAATTATCCTTTAAAACTTAGAATGTGAAAATGAATGGAACAATTGATGAGAATACATAACCATCTGTAATCTTTCAGTATCTCAATGAAAAATAAACATCAATTAATACATTACACGAGGTATGCCCACTAGGAAAGCTTTTATGCCCTTCCTTAATGACACTTTTATCACCATGACAGATGACATTTCCCCATTTATCATAAGCCTGTGAAGCAATGAAGTTAAGTTCCATGATCAAAAAATTGGCACGAGAAAAAGCCAGATGTATTCCCATAGTAGCAGGAATAGAGAACCATACATCCTTTCCATCTGGAAAACAGCGCCAAAAAAAGTCTGGCCGAGGTCGGCCAACTACATTTTTAATTGCATCTGTGATAACCGCTGTCAGTAGAACAGAGAATAAGAGGCCTGCATTAGCAAACAAATTTCCCATCATCACTTCAACAATTATGATGTAATTATTGAGCTTATTCAAAAGAACACTTTGTTCATAAAACAGTAAACTATCCAAATGATATGATCACCTAGTATGGCATGATGAAGATCATAGACATCCCTCCTATGGATGTACACAAGGAGAAAAATCATCATTGGCAGCAGAACTGCATACACCTAAATACAAAAAGCAGGGAGAGAAAGAAAGAGAGCTCATGCAGTCGATTTTAAGGATATTATTACACATGGGAAATAAATTAGAATGCTGTTATGCTTATGGAAAATTTTAAGAATTTTACTGCGTGAGCAAGGCAAAGGAAATTTACCGGGACAGCCCAAACAGGCACCGTGTTACTCTTTAAGGGGTATTTTAGACCCTCCATCATATCCTTCCCAACAAAGCGATAAAATGGATGAATGATATAGAGGAGAACCTCTATCACCACGAGCAAGAGAAGTATAAGCCAATCAAGCATGTGTGTCCTTGCAACTGTGACACCATGGGACCTTACCGTATGTGAACCGAGCTGAACTTCCCTCATTCTGCACTGTTTAACATCTATGAATGTCAGAGTACTGTTCAGATTATGTACCAAAGGATCCTCTTAAAGGCTCCATAAGAAGGAAAACTATGACCACAGCCATTATGGGTTGCAAAATCACCAGTAAACAAGACAAACAAACAAAAAAAATCTCCTAAAAAAATTGAATGCCAATTTAAATAAAATCCTAAGCTAAACACATGACTGGACTAGCTCTGATAGCCAAACATTTGCATTTCAATATTCTAAATTTTAGCCAAAGGATTTACAGTTGATACTTTTTTTCTGTATGGATACGAAAATAGCAGCATCAGCAACACCTTAAGCCTCAAGAAATAACTGAGAACAGAAGGATCTTGATGCCTCTAAATGCATCGTTATGAAACTCTCACGGGAATATGGCATTCACATCCATCGCATCCCACTCTCCAAGCAAAAAGATGATGAAAAGCATGCCAAGAAAAGTGAGAGTTAAATTTGCAACCCCAACATCTGAGACAATAACAGACAACACCAATACCTCTTGATCTTCCCTACTATATGCAGTTCAAAACAAGGTAATATTCATCACTTTCTCAGAAGGAGATTTTTGTAGCATATAGCTACTAACTTTACATGTTAAAACATGTCAATAGAATATTAAGCTCAATGAATCAGCCATACTTGTTCAAATGTGGAAAAAAGCAAAGAAAAAAAATACCTCTTTATTCCTGGGTTCTATCAATGGAAGGTCAATGGATGACAAAGAATGACTAGCATTTGCAGAATTTTCCAACCTCCAGCTTGAGAAATCCTAACCAATTCCAACCAACCAATCTTCAGGGATGAAATATAAACACCACCCTCCTCCCCAACCCCTCACTATACCTAGATAGTAAACTTCATATTCCGATCTATAGTTTCATTGCATCTAACTTCTAATAGGTTTTAAGCTTAAGAGAAGATTGTAGAGGATGGCTCAGCAAAGTCTAGCAAGCATGCACCTTTAAACAGCAGTTATCTAATAACCAGGAATTAGTCCAAAGCTAAGAGAACTAACAATAAATAAACAAGTGGAAGGTAAAAACAATCAAATTTTATCTCTATTGTGTATATTGATTAGTAAGGTTCCATATTGGAGATATTTAATTTGCTAGCAGAAGCCCAGAAGAAATGATGGATTTATGTTTTAGAGACTACAACAGTAATGATGAACCCTATAGATGAAAATATGAAGCATGAGTAACTATCTTAATCCAACCATACTTTTCCTACGCTCTGACTGCTTAAAATTCATGAGCTATGATGCCTTTACCCTTGGAAAAGACCAATATCCTAGAGTCAAACACTATGCATCCCCAAAACAGAACAAAATGAAAACAGTCAGGTCAGTGGAGGCATGAATGTACCCTGAGACAATCAAATACCAAAATCCCCATAGTAAATAATCACCTACACCATAACTGATCACTAGGGGATCCTCGATACATATAGACACAAAGAAATATGTCACCATCATTGACGGTAGCCAAAGTTTAAAATAGTAAATGTCGTCCACCTGGTAACGAGTGATGTATGCCATCATCTTAATAGTTTATCTTAACAAATTGACAGTGATGTGCTTTAAATCCTAGAAGTAAGATATTGTCCTTCAGTCTTAGCTGAAAACAGCAGATAGTAGGTCATAACGTGTTAATCCTACGTGAAACCGATACATTTAAACTAACTGAAATTTGAATGCATTACAAGCAGCAAAATCAGACTTGCAAACAGTAATAAAAAACCTTGGTGATCAACTGTCCATCAACAAACCAAAAGCCCAAAACTGATATAGTATTCCATCAACTTAATGTAGGTGAATAAAGTTCTATATATGGCCAATGGTGAAAGAAACCCAATGCCATTCCAAGCAGTTAGGATCATGTTATTACTATTTAAATTATTAAAACTCATTTCATTCCATGGACTAAGTGAGGGAAAGACATGCAGCATGTGGCTATTATGATGTGCATAACCGGTAAATTATCAATCCTTGGTTAGTTTAATGCTCTTAGAATACATCAATAAAACATAACAGATACCAGTATTTGGATTAATGCATACAAGACCTTCACTCTAGAACCAAGCAATGTTATTCTAGAAAAAATTTCCTACTTTGAACTTTAGCTACCAACATAATAAAAAGAATTAACAAAAGCGCTCCAAATTATTTACAATACCCAATGTTAATAACAGAGTGATGACTAAGAACCAAAAGCTTTGAAAGGAAAGAAAACCCATTTTCCGAATATAGCTAGCAACGATTTGAGGTCAAGTATGAAAAAGAGGAAATAAACAAGAATACCCACAAAGCATATCTATGTTATACTTTGTTTTATGATATGAATTCCAACATCAGTGACCAAATAAATGACAAAACAAAGTTGCAATATTCAAATCAATACATCCCACTAACCTGAAAAGCGTTACAGAAATTCTTAAACCAAGAAAGAAAACCTGTGTTCCAGGAAGGCATGGCATAAACCGATCGAAAACACACAAAAGCAGATAACGTAATGGGTTAGTTACATAATAATAAATATATGTCCTGAAATGCAGGAGCGAACCCAACAAAAACTGAAAGGAACCAAAGTGCTTGTTCTATTCACACACCCAAGTATAAACAGAAGACCCCTATCCTCAATAATTCTGACAAAACAACAAAGTAGTAGTAACAGTAAAAGCGAACTGGTAATGAATATAAAGAAAGAATTTACCTGGGAACTTTGGGTTTGCCATTTTTCTTTTTCAAAGTTGTTGGTGTGTTAACTGTTATGATGGGAGTTGGGACCCCAGTGGGGCTATGGGAAAGGGGCTGTTCGTAGGGAGGCGACAAGAGACGTTTGGAAAAGGACTATTCCAGAGCGCCAAACGCATCCGCTGTTGGGTACACTCTCTTTCATTTCTGCTTTTAATCCCTTCCTTTTCGCGGTTGGAATTTTATGTTGAAGAGTGAAACAGAACCAGCCAAAACAACTGCTACTAATAACTAAGAACATAAGAAACAAGAATAATCTTTTTCAATTGTTCCATTTTAAGTTATTTACATAATTAGTAATCGAATTTTGAGAAAAATATAAAAATTGGTATTTGAAAAAAAATAACTACAAATTTGATACGAAACTCTTTTAAATAGTATTTTTTGAATTTCAATTTCCCATAATTTATAAATAAATAATGAGCAAATTTGAAAAAAATTAACTAAAAATTAAATATTATTATACCTAAATAATGTAATTAAGAGAGGTAATCTGGAATTGATGGCATGGCTCGCTGTCCCCGTGCATGCTTACACCACTTGTCACTCTCCATGCAGCCCTCTCTCTTTCCAAAAATACTTTTCTTTTCGTAAAAGACAGCAACTTCTGTAACAATTGTGGCAAAAAAGCAGAGCCACCCACTCATTTAACATCTTTACTTAACTAAACACCAAAGAAGAACGCCCACTGTCTCAGCTGCCTCAGGCCCAAGATCCTCCCTTTGCCCACCGCCATGGATCCACCACCCACCACCACCACCCCAAAGCTACGACTGATGTGTAGCTACGGCGGCCACATCATCCCACGTCCACAAACTAAATCACTTTACTACTCCGGAGGAGAAAACCGCATAGTCACCATCCCCACCACCACCGCTCCCACCCTTTCTCTCTCTACTCTCACCACCCACCTCTCCACCTTCCTCCACCTCAGCGCCCCATTTGTTCTCAAATACCAACTTCCCGATCACGACCTTGACTCCCTCATTTCCATCTCAACGGATGATGATCTCCAAATCATGTTAGAAGAGCACAGCAGACTCTCTTCCACTGCTACTCCTTCACGTGTCAGATTATTTATTTTTCCAGTTGTCAATAGCATCAACGCTGAGTTGAGTCATCCGAAAAGGGAGAGTTGGTTTGTTGATGCTTTGAGGAGTGCAAGAGTGGGATTTGGAGGGGAAATTAGTAGTGAACAAGAGTCTATTGTTTTGGAAACTTCGTCTTCTTTTGGCTCCACTTCTTCTTCGCATTCTCTGTCAAATCTGCCTCCAATTAAATCGTCATCAGATTCAATACCAAGGTAAAACTTATGTTTGGGTTTTTTCATATATGAAAGGAAAGGAATTTTATAATGCCAATGTGCAACTTTTTTGTTTCTTTGTTTTTGCATCATGGTTTTGCTTCCTATTTCTCTTCCAGGTACCAAGAGAGCCATATTGTTTGAGTATTTTGGACTAAATAAACCCAGAAAGCATATTTTTTAAGTGGATTGTATAGGAAAATTTTGATGTTTTGGAGAGATTTGGTGATTAGATGTTTTTATTTGCCTTGGTTAATGAGGAGAAAGAATATGATACAAAACTGAAGTTTTTTAGATAGATAATTGTGCGAACGGTTATTCGAAAAGTTTAATCTGATAGGAGATGTCTCGGATGTTATGTTTGAATTCGATTAGAAGGGATGAAAACTTGTGAATCAAACTTCTAACTTCAACTGTTTCTGCTTAAAAATGTTGTGGTAGGGAACAATTTTTATTTTAATTAGTTTGTTTTGATAGAACTGAAAGGGCCCTGCTAGTTGCTTTAGATTGACCTATAAAGTTTAATACCGTTTCTGTTCAAGTTCAACAATTTCATACTTATTAATTCCTCTGATGCTGTTTTATTGTGCTGTTTTGGTTATTGATTTTCCCTTTTTTTTTTCCTTATTTTTACAGTTGTGTGTTATCTGGATTCGGCGTTGATCTATATTTGAGGATCATGATGATTGTGTTGGGGGTGCTTTTCTAATGTGCGGGATGGAACTTGTCAAGACCAAGTTGCCCTCTTTGCTGCAATGGAGAATAAGGCCTCTTCGAACCCATTTGAACCAGACTATAAAGTTGCTGATCCTTCCTCTGGGATAGAGATGCATAAACCAATTCAGGCGTCTGGGTTTCCAATAAATCTAGTGGATCTACCTCAGCAACAAACACAATTTGTTCGTGAGGGTACCATTACATACCACAGAACATGCCTGGAGCACAGCCAGTTACATCATATTACCCAGTTTATCATCCGCTGCCACCACAGCAACGGCACCTCCATTATCAGTCAAATCAACCTTACCCACTGTATTACTTGCCTGTTGTGCCAACTCAGTCTTACAGTATACCTGCGCAATGTGGGATGGTTCAGGCATCCTCTTCCTCTATTGGCTCTGGTCAGCCCCAAATCCATCCAAATGCTTCATTGATTCCACCTCAACAGGGTATCAAGGCGGTTGCAGCATTACTTCAACCTGTAGCTGACTTAACCTCACAGGCATACACAAATGTTCCAGGGCACCCACTTATTGATTTACCTCATAATGAAACAGAAACAAGGCCCGTTGGTGCTCAAATTCAGCACCACCCTCAAGCATTTGGTGTTGCTGCTGGTGAAACTGCTAATTGCACTAGCAAACTTGATGATGACCCTGCTCGTGTTCAAATATACAAATCTCAGCCTCCACCACCCACGTTGCCTTCACAGTACCAAACCATGACCAAAGCCACAACATTACTTTTGTCTGAGGCTTTAGGGCAATTGCATACTGACAATGCAAAGCAACAGATTAGAACATCAGAACCACAATGATCCTACTCTCCAGCAGGGAACACAATTTTGGTAGTGGTGTCTTCGTTACTTTTGGGTTGTTTTACCTTGGTGCTGATTTTGGCAGTGGTATGTGTAGCCTGCCTGACATATAAAGAGATGATTTCGCCTTTCTTCTTTTTGCTTTATATGTTTTATTCCTCTTTCTGTTTGTTTGTTCATTTACTTGTTTGTTTGTTTTCTTGAATGTTCTTGAGATTATAGTATTCCACAAAATGTGTTGTATGGTTGAGTTGTCTCTCTCCCGATCATGTTGTTAGTAAATGAGGGTTGAAACACCCCTTTTCGGAGAAATAGAACTTTGGTTATGTAATCTTACTAATGGAATGGGGATGTTCATCATAGATGTTGAATATTTGCATGTTTCTTTTTTAAAATTACAAACATTTACATCTGACACTGAAGAGAAAGCAAGTGAGAAATTTTTGTCTATATGTGGTTAACTATGCAACTAACAGTCATTATTCACGATGTTTGCTTGTGGAGTTTACTACAAGTCTACTGTTGGGGTAAACCCTTACCTCTATCTCGGTTTATTGGTAGCTAAAACTGTGATTAGTTGCTCATGAAGGCCATCAATCTCTACAACTGCCATGATTTTGTCAGTTGTTCTTGATTGTGGGTCTAGAGCTGTTTGTTCTCATTGTTCTGGCTTACACTCGTCTTGGCTTTGATCTTCTTGTGATGCAGATTTTCTTGCTATCTGCATTTGCTGCTTTCACCTCTACAACCTCTTCTTATTAAACATTAGTTTTAGTATATCTTTCTCAGCTTCGTGTCCTTTGGCATTTTAGTGGTTTTGACATAGTCTTGTCAGGACAAAACTTAAATCCTTGAGGCAATGAAGTATGTTTTTCAAAGTTAAGTAACCAAAGCTGGTTCCATTGTGATTTGATTATTTTAAGTTTGTCGTATAACTTTTCTTCAAATATGCTGTTCTTGTTTCTATGTCATTTCAGACTGCCCATATTAGTATTTTTATTTTCATTCCTTTTTTTATTATCTTTGCAGACTTCTCCAGCCTTAATGCTGCTTGAGTGTTAAAAGCACTTTAGTTGACCATTTTTTAATTTTTTAGTTACTCGAATCATTTCATTTTATCTTACGGACTATGCTTTAGTTTCAGGCACTAATGCTGCAGACAAAAAGAAACAAAGATTGGCTTTGTTTCTTGGGGATTTGGTTTTCAGGGATTCTCTAATTAATCCGTGGTTCATATTGTCAGAATGTTATTGTGCTTTTCATGGTCCTATATTAATGTCTTTTGAAAGTTTTGGTACTGCTTAGATGAAGAAAAGAATCCTATCATTTGTTCTAGAAAGAATGTCCATTTCTATGCTCTGATGCTACACTATTGTGGACTTTCAAAGTTTATTTTTCAGAGCTATGAAAATTTTGCTCAATTCACAATGTAAAACATGATGTTTCCTTTTTATTTTTGAAAATAAAACATGATGTTCTATCGGTTCATGCATTTGTCCTTTTTTTGGCAGTCAAATTTCACAATTTGGAATTGTAGCCTCTTTCTAAGTACAAAAAATAAATAAATAATTAAATAAACTGAATGTTTATGTTTGTAGCTTTAAACATGACATGTTTCATTGGTAGTATCATTTGCCCCTTCCCATGTCTTCTTAATTTTTCATTTGGAAAAAAACTCTGGGTGAACTGTGGGAATTTTTTGTCTTATTTTAGCAAAAGGAATTATCCTTGCATGAACACTTGATTGAGAATACTAATCAGGGATGAGCTGATTTCTTGCAACTTCTGAATGGGTAATGCATGATTCAGTGGGAAGAACATAGTAATACTTGCTTAATTAGCCCTTCATAGGTTCTCAGTACAGGATTCACTTTTCATGCTAGCTTGCACCTGATTCCATGTACATGATAAATTTCACCAAATTTAATGTTTAGTTTTTTATTGTTCAAATTATTGTTCTAGAAGTTAAAACTCCTTGATGGTTGTTATAGTCAGCTTAGTATTTTATTGAACTGCTGTTTCTGGCTCTCTTATCTATTCTTTGTTGAGTTTTATCTTCTCAAACTATTTTGTGGGAAGTATCATTTTTTTTAGTTACTGCATCTATGGGTCTAGATTCCAACCCTGGTAATTGACTCTTTTGTTATGATGTTTTGCATTGTAACCTAAAGAAGCTTCATAAGATTGGAGCTTTTGTACACAAGGTACTATTATGGTCCTTGATCAATCCCAGCAGACATGCTGCAGCCACGACTTTTATCAGTTTTATACATGGGAGTTAAAGCCCCAGAAATAAAATCTCTCTTAATGCTGCTTATGATGCTTTCTTTCACATGATACAAGCTGGATGTTAGAAGAGGATAGCTAATATTAATCTTTGTGTATATAGAGCACTCCCAAATTGGCCTTGCTCAAACTCTGATTTTTCATAAACTCTGCTGTTCATAATTCAAAATCAGCATTTGTCTGCTATTTCCTCATGAAAACAGGTTTGATTGACAGTCTTTGGACCTGAAGAGAATGTTTATGTTGCAAGCTTTTCTGTAACTCAAGATACAGCCTCTGGGGATTCTGTCTTGTTTGATTGTAAGAAGTCCTGAAAACTGGTATTTCTCTACATGAATCAAGTGCATCTGAATGTTGGTTGTTCGTCTTTGGTCTTTCACAGAAACATGCAGTGTTATGAATGACACAAAAAAGTATGGGAGGATTTAGTGATAGACCATTTGGCCTGCTGTTCTTATCGAGGTTCTTGTCTTTGATCACTGTCCTTAAACTTTGCGGTTCAGTTCATTGATAAAATTTCAGATTATCCTTCTAAGTATTTGCTGATTTGCAGTCTCTTAACACTCTTTCAAGCTTTGAACTTTTCTATCATAGTCAACATAGACCACTTAGCTTGCTTGACTTTGCATTCCTGCTTTTTTGGGTGAATTTTGCACTCCTGCAATTTGTTCTCTATGATTGTTAGGACTAGTGAAAATGTAGAGTACAAATGTTAACCATGGTGTCACCATCCAAAGTACAGTACAAACACCCTTTTACTTTTGACAATGTAAAAGATGTTGGAGCTGAAGAGATTACTTGATTTGTCTGATGTTCTTTGTCAAAAAAGCATTCAATAAAGGTAAACGGACAAGATGCCCGTAGTGGATATAATAGTTCTTGATGCTAGCCAGTTATTATAGTGGGGCAACAAAAGATGTGATCAAATTACATGTCATTAAAGGTAGAGGGAAACATTGTCAGTATGACAGAAGGTAGAATTCCAACTGATGAAATCTAATTTGCCTCAAATGAATAAACTCAGCTTGGGACATTAAGAAAAAATATTTTTATTCTGCTACATGCTGTCCAATTCATAGTCAGAGAACTAAAATGAATTTTAGCATGTTGAATCGTTTTATGTATACTGAAATTTGCAAGGGAAAAGACTTGTTATCTTGACATCTTCAATGCCATGGTGCAGTATATTCAGCTGCTTCATCCGGAAATGTGTACAAAAACCAATTCAGCTATCACTCTCAGATTTACTCAATGGTTTAGTGGACCAAACGTCTGGTTTTCACCAATCATGGACTCTCCTTAGGAGTACGAGGTCAATTTGTCGAAGCTATAACTCACACACCTCATTGTAGGTCTCCTATCAGGACTCTTGTGAATGCAGGCTAAAGCGAGTTTAAATATAGCAGCTATATTGTCCTCTTCACCCCAATTATAATTTAAGGAGGGATCTATGATAGAAGAGAGTGGCTTTCTTTCCTCAATGCTGAGTTGAATCCATTGCACCATATCCATCTCCAAAGAACCAACCTGAATGCTTGGTAACTTTCCAGAGATCGTCTCCAGTAAAATCACTCCAAATGAGTAAACATCCCACTTCTGTGATGGCTTCGTGTCTTTTGAGGCTTCAGGAGCTTGATAATACGATCCATTCAGAGAAGAATTTATTGGTGTAAACTCATATGGAGAACCATGCTGTGGTGTCCAGCTTGTCATCTGTTCCACCTGAAATGTTGGTGATTCCTCGGCTATGTTGGCAAGGCGGCCAAGTCCGAAGTCAGAAATATGAGGCTCCATGTCCTCTCCAAGAAGAATATTGCTTGGCTTCAGATTTCCATGGACATACCTTTTCGGGCTGAGTTCATGTAAGAAGGCCAAGCCTTTGGCTATTCCTTTCATGATTTTTACCCGAACAGACCATGAAAGAGGTTTAAAGGGTATGAATCCAGCTTTTCCTGGTTATATTTAGAAAATTAGAATGATTAGCATGGTAACACTCAGAAAATGGAAAATATATTTGCAGAGGATTAACCTAGACAAATGAAGAATAGTTGTGAACAGTGTACAGTACATGAAGAGTAACTTTTGGTTTCCATGGACAGAATTTAGTAATTTACCATGAATTGCTGCAGTAAGATCTCCATTAGTTATATAATCATAGATGAGCAGCTTCTCATCATCGGACCAGCAATAAGCTCGAAGGTTAACGATGTTAGGATGCCTAATTTTTCCGATTGCTTCAACTTCAATTTGAAACTCCTTGAGTCTTTGCCCACTTCCGTCTCCCAGTCTTCTCACTGCCACAGTTTGTCCATTGTCAAGCACCACTTTATACAGAATCCCGCTTGCACTCTTACCCAGAAGGAAAGCAGATGCTGTAAGAAGTTGATCTAGATCAAAGTTAACCTCTGAGTCCAATGGCACAAAGTTGCATTGCTCCATATTTTCTGATGTAGTGTCGATGTCTTTCTTCGCAAAGCAGAAAATGTCCCTCCCAATCATCAGTTTTTCTTCAAGACGATAACCAGTGACTTTTTGAACTCCTTTGCAGACAGAGGCCTTCTTGTGCCAATAAGAGAACAAAAACCCAATGAGGCAGACTCCTACCATCACACCGGTAATAGTTGCAATCACCTGATGAGACGAGCTGGAATGACCGTCTTTCCCACTCTTTATGGAACTTCCACCTGAACTCTGAAGTGGATTATGAATATTTGATTGAGAATCTGCAGTTGGACTGCCCGAGGGACATGCGAGTTTCAAAGGGGATCCGCAAAGCAAAGGATTGGCTACGAAAGCTGTTGGTCCTGCATTTACTAAAGCACCATTCTGCGGTATAGGACCACTAAGATTATTGTAACTGAGATCAATATAAACTTTCTCAGGGAGGCTTCCTAGGCTAGCAGGAATATTACCGGTGAAGAAGTTGTGAGACAAATCAAGAGTCCCTTGCAAATTTGATAAGTTGCCAATGTCACTGGGGATTGAACTGCCTAAGCTGTTGTAGGAAAGATTGAGTTTGTGAAGGCTAATCAAACTGTTTCCAAGTCCAACAGGGAGAGAGCCAGCAAAATTATTTTCACTGAGAACAAGTGTCCTTAGGTTCCTGCACTGAACTATAGATGAAGGAATCGAGCCATTGAATGAATTTTGTGACAGATCTAAAGTTTGTAGGTTCTTGAGGTTCCCCACCGGCGGCGGAAGAGCTCCAGACAACGAATTACCTGAAAGGACCAAGCTCTTCAGCCTAGTTGCAGTGAAGAGCTGGATAGGCAAGCTTCCACGAAATGAGTTGTTCTTGAGGTTGACATGACGAATTGCGGAGAGATTTGCAAGCGCAGGAGAAAGAAAACCAGCTAGTCCCATATTTGGAATGATGAGAGCATTAACTTTTTCTTTTCTGCATATAACTCCGTGCCACGAGCATGGATTCACATCGGATGAGTTCCAGTTGATCAGATAATAGCCTTCTGTGCTATTCTCTATGGACTGTTTGAAGGATAGAAGAGCAAGGCCTTCATCATTTAGAGCACCTAGGTGAGCCGTGTAGTTGCATACAAGGAGAATCAATAAAAGCAATGGCGAAGTCATCTCAGGCAAATGGAAGGTTGAGAGATATTTACAGAAGAAAAGTAAGTTTCATGTGCATCGCTTTGTATGCTACTAGGTGGAAGAAGTGTCGAAATCCGGAAAGGAAACAGAGATTGGGTCTATCTTTCCACTACTTCATGTGATGTTAAATACCTCCCTTTTATGACAGAAGATGAGCTGTGATTTGTTTTAAGTGTTGACTGCGGAAGTAGGTCTAGTAATGGTAGCAATCCCACTTTCAGAGTAAAGGGTAAGGAAAGCTTTCGCCAAGCTTTTCAGGTTTCCAATGGGAAAAAAATGACGAGGAAAACATCAAGCATATACTTCAATTTTCTCAATCACCAGTACCAATATATCAAACTACTGACTGTTTCCTAGTCTGGTCGAGTATTTGGAACCCAAAACTAAACCAAGGAAGATTCACCGCTTTCTCGTACTAGGGGCAAACTTGAAACCGAAGTACCAAAGCTTTATTGATTAATTGACTAATATGTGGCCTTGATTGAGACATATTTAATCATTTGATCAAAGTAATGAAGAAAAGGTCAAGATATGGGTTGACCAATAGGCACAAGTAGAAGGGGCAAGCGTGATTAGAGGCGATGATGGTTCCATGAAAATGCCGCTGAATGTGGTCTACAAGTTCATGAGAAAGTCGTTCTGGTAGGGACGACGGCTTCATGACTTTCACCTTTTTCTCCCGCATCTGGTTCGGCAGCACTCCAGCTTGGAGCAAATGAACAAATTAAGCACATCGGTGTAGCATCAGATCATGGCTAGATTTTTGGGTCACCTTGTTTGAAAAGACTTAACTAATTAAAACCCAAGCTTTCATGACAAACTACGATGAGCTTCTCAGCCCCACCTGCTCATCATCACTGTGTTTTTTGGCATGATTGCTGTTGAGGAGATTTTTAACTACTTCCTAAAGGCATAACCTTCAACGTCTAATTATGAGAGATGCTATTAAGAACATATTTAGCCCAAAATTGATAATTACAAGGTTATAGATTAATATATATTAGGCACGCTAGACAATGTAATAATTTAATAACAATTTAATGTGATTAAAAATATTCATTTAAACAGACAATTAACTTTATATATCTCAAACTCAATTAGTGACAAGCCAAATTTTGTAACTTTGTACAATTTTTTATTAGAAATTGATAACAACATAGATTATTGTACAAAGATTTTATTTATATATAATTGATATATTAATTATTTTTATTTATTATATATTGTCTTTCAATTATAATTATTTTTTATAAAAACAATTAATTTTAAATTTTTGGAAATATTTGTATTTCATATAATTGTCATTTAAAGTTAAATTAAAATTAAGTATTCATGTACAAGATATATGATGATAATACTAGTTCACATGAATTATTGTAATTTACTGAAGGGCCAATGTAGTCATATTCACGACGGTTCCAACCTTGTGCAGTATATGGAAAATGACAAACTTTATGAGGTTGTTTAAGTCAAGCTTGTAAAACTTATATTAAAAATAATTAGAAAAATAAATTTATAAATCAAAATTGATGAATTACTAGAGTTCAATTAATAAATCAATAATGTGTGAATAATTAATAATTAGTGAATGGTTAAAATTTTATCATAATTTTGATTAAATTGACGTGATACTTCTTGCTTACATGATATTGACTATGTCGTTATAGAAAGTTGGCATAGCAAAAAACTATCGTGGTAGAAAATTAATACGGCATAAAGCTGACGTGGCAATTACTAAATTAAAAAATGATCATTTGTTTTTCAAAAATTTTTATTTTATTTTTGATTAAACTGAATTTAGAATCAAAATTATGATAATCAATCTAGTGATTACGTTTAATAAATTAAATAACGACTATTTTATTCAACTTGTTGCTCTTTGTGTTCAAAATGATCAAACTTTTTTACGTGGTAACAAATAGTTTTCACTAGTCAATAACAAAATCAAAGGTAGTGCCAAGAGCGTAATTAAATGTGGGAAATAAGAGGACCACAAGAATCATAAGAGATGGACCACTTACCAAGACACAAGTAACATTTTTCCTCTAAACACATTTCATGATGTGTAATGACATTGGTAACAATTGGCCAATGCATTTTAAAAGGCATTAAAACAAAAACCAAGAAAATGGCCCTCGCTACATCTGTGTGATGCCAAAAAAAAAATTTATAATTTTCAAGTTTGAAATCTTAAAAATTAAAAAACATAACAATATTAATGTATTTGATGATAACATTTTCATGATCAATCTTTTTCTTTTCCTTTTCCTTTTTTGGTTCTAATTGCAACACTTTCTTGTGTTGAGATTACTGTAAATACCACATTTGCTTCTTTATGTTTTTTATCAATTTTTTTCTTTCCTTGTGCCTGAAAACAAAATTGATAATAATATATGAGATTCAAAATTATAATTAAGGTAGGGTAGAAGTAATTGTAATTGACCTAATCCCAAAAAATAAAATTAATGACATTAAAACATATAATGCCAATTTTTGTAAATAATTGTAGATCGTTATCAAAATTTTTCCTTATATCTAGATATTTAGTCAAAATACTATTTACTTGAGATTATAAAAATTTTTTTCTTAAATAAACAAGTTTATTTTAGTATATAAAGTTTTGTAAACATTTCATTTGTTGAATATATATGAAAAAAATTGACTTAACAAAATGAAAAATCGTACTTGATGATTGTATGTGTAAAGGTTATTATTATTATTCTCATAATAGAAAATGCAAATGGAGAACGTAGCTGTTGTATTGGGATGCTTAGCTATATCTACTATCATTTTAATAGTAATTATTGTTGTGAGGAAGAAAAGGGTTGTTGGAAAAAGAAGAAAAAGAACACAAACTAGAGTTAAAATGAATAATATATCATCAAGATGTCACTTCCGGAGATAAAATCAACTAAAATGGGGTTTCTACCTTTGTAAATAAAGAATTGAAATTTTGCATTAAAAATTCAAAAGTTAGCATCTATTGAATCAATTTCATAATATTTTCACTTGTACCTCTTTTTTCTTTGTTCTTGTCCTGGAAAAGCTACCAATTGTTCCAATTCTATACCTTGCAATTCTAACAAATTATATGTTGAAACCCATGATTTATTCTTCAACAAATACATTTAATTCTTCATCGAATACAGCTAAAAACATTCAAAAATGAACATTTGATGCACTTAGTATCAAATAATCAAAGCTTGTTGTTACCTCCTTATAACATTTAAAATACATTTATTTTGATCACATGGTAGTTATGAAACTATAACATATATTAATAAATTTTATAAAATTAAAACCAATTGTCGTCAAATTATATAAATTAAAAAAAAAAACAGAAAGCAATAGAAGCAGCCATTTTCTACTGTAATAAAATGTGAAAATTAATTGTTAAAAGTGCAGAAAAAGAAAAGGAGAGAATATATACCTTCATTAATCCTAAGCAACTACAACAAATAAAATAGTGATTCACAAAGCAAAGCCTAATTAAACATAAACAAACGACAGTGATTTTTGACTTCATGCTCAGGAATCTCTCTAATCCCATGTATGACTTTTCATGTAAATGTCAACATTACAATTCATCAATCTCTACCCAACCTTCATCAGCAATAACCAACTATACACAATCTATACATAAAAGGCACCCCTCTCCAACAAAAAGGTGAGCAATCTTTCCATTAAAACCCAACACATGATCAAACTTCTCTCGAAACAAGGCAGCCAAATATAGTAAAACCCAAAAATAAAAACGTCAATGATAGATAAAACAAATCCCAAAAAAGCCACAAACACCAATTTTTTTATCAAATAAGTCAAATTACATCATTTTTTTGGACTAACCTGTTGATTCCCTCTCTTAATTCTTTCCCCTATCAAATGTTTAATCTTTGCCTGCAAAAAAAAAAAAAATTCCTTCTCGATTATTCCTTCCAATACTTTTCTCTCTCTTCAATTCTCGATTCAAACGATTCTCTCTTTGGATTCTCCCTCTTCTGTTGTTTTTTTTTCTCTCTCAATTATTTTTATTAATATGATTTAATTTAACTTAGAGTTAAAATGTTTTTAAGTTAAAATTTGAAGTGTTTCCGAATTAATTTTTTTTTCCTCATCAGCAATTGTCACATCATCATTTTGTCACGTTAGCATCTAGCACGTCAACACACAATTGTGATCTGTCGAGTCAATTTAACTATAATCAATGCACTAGTATTATCACCTCACATCAATACATAATCAACGTCATATCAATATACTTAATTATTAAACTTAACGATATTAAAGTTAAGAACTAGAATTAACAATTTAACAAAATATAAAGATTAAATTTACACAAATTATTGTACAGGAATTAAATCCATACTTTTTATAGAATACAGAATATAATTGTATAATTTAACTTTTTTCAAATTATAGTAACTAGAGAGATGGTTTTAATTAATTTTATGGCAGGGTTCTTCTAAGTTGTGTCTCTTTATGTTCTGGTAGCAGAGTAGCAGACTGAGATGGCTGTAATTTTCAGTAAACTTTGTCCTTCTAAATTTTTTAATTCAGATATTGCATGCCTGACTTTTTGAAGTTTTAACTGTCTACTTGTATGCTTGCTTGATTCATGGCACATAGTTAGTTTATTGGTTAGAGTTTCCCTAATCTGTCCAATAAGTTTTGATTGCATGGAGATGGTTAGCTATAGCTACAACTGGGGGTAAAGAAATAGCCAGGGACACGTTTTTGGATAAAATTTTAATGTTAACTTCCTGCTCACTTACTGATTAGTGAACAACAATTGCATTCCATGTCCTTTGATATCATCATGATCCCTTCTTTTGTTTTCTACTAGCTATTCTTTCAATCTCAATTCTGAACTGTTCACTACTTATAGATGAATGATTTAATTATCCTTTCCTTACAACGTTATAGGAGTCTTCCAAAAAAAAATCAAAGAATGGAATATTTTGGTTATGCTCTAACTAGTTTGATTGCATAGAGACTGTGGAGTTAGCAAAATATTGAGATTTTCAGCAATTGGCTATCATACTTAAAAGGAGAAAGAAAAGGAGTTCCTTAGGAACAGTTTACTAGATGCTACTTGAGACTGCATAACTCTAACTTGAACACAGTTCTGTTTTCTAATCATTTCTCTGTTTCAACTTTCAATTTTTTTAATGTTCGGCAAGACTAATGCTACATATCTGATTGCTTACAGTTGTGTGCATTGTGAAATAAATGATGCAAACCTTCATATCTGAGTCTGTATGTATTGAGAAGAAAACTTCAAAGAGGCTTCTTTCATTGACATTATTGTACATGCTACCTTCATTTGCGAAGGGGTACCACCTGGTTGAATGTAAATTTCTATGAAACTGGCATCCGTGATCATGCAACTGCAACAGAGAAACTACCTGCCATGTTCAGTACATATAAATCTGAAAAATGAAAGTCTTTCCTGAACAGTTAACCAGAGAAAATATTATGAAACTTGAAGAGTAAAGGATGAATGAGAATTACACATTCCTTTGAAGTGTTTTTGCAGTTTGCTGTGTTGACATCTCATGGCTGGAATGATGTTTAAAGTATACATTTTCTTTCTGGAATGAAACTGCAGATCAGGAAAAAAAAAGAAAAAGAAAAAGAATGTAACCAGGAACAAAATTAAAAAATTTAATGTCAGTATGGGACAAATCTAGCATAGATGTAGTTTTCAGTATTTACAGTCAGCGGGAGTGCAAACCCCAGTAAGTGTCACACCAACCAAAACCATAATGCTGCAATTTTGTGCAAGTATAAATTTATAAAACATTTTTCCCCTAATTTCTGAGTTGGATCCTTTCTCCCATATTTCAGTCTACAAAGGCTACTAAAATGGGAAAATATTTGGTCTAGCAGGGATTAAACTTCTTGACCTGACAAATGAACCGTGCAACATTGGAAGCCGAAATGCAAGTCAAAGAAGAATAGTATAAACCAAGAAGCCGCATCAACAATTAAACACAGTAATAAAGAACATGTAAATATCAATAATTGGGATTGAGAAGTTATTCTTTGCTGCAGACAAATAGTCTGCATTTCATTTACATGACTGCTCCGCAGAAACTCACTCACAATTACATTTGAAAATGCCTCATTCAATCTGATCAAATTCAAGTTGTTAAAAAAAGCAAAGCCCCATGAAACTTGGAAAACAAGCGGTTATTCAGAAAACACCACCCGAACTGTTAGCAACAAATGCTTGTAGTATGCAACGTTTTCCTTCTTTTTACCACAATGATTCACTAGCAGCTTTACGCATGCTTTTCAACTTTCTTACCACGAAAGAACTTGGCCAAATTTGGCATCACTTTTCTTTTCTTCTTAATGATGAATGGAGTCGATCCACCAGCTCGTATTACGGGTGAGGCAGACTTACGAAACCTTGCTTGTCCTGATGGTGTTAAATTTCCATTGCTTTTCATGGATCTTCTGCGAAACGGTGATTGCTTGTTTTGTGCTGCTGCATTCTTCTCACGAGTCTGTCTCCGGTTGCGTAATTCTGTCTCTATCATCTTCTTTGCTGAAAGTGACCACGCCGTTCTGTGCACCTCATGCTCCTCCTCTACTCTCATCTCTCTAAGATCTCTGTGAGCTATTTCAGTTTTCATCAATATCTCCCTCTCACTAGCCTTTAAAGCTTCAATCCATGCCTGAGTTGCAGCAACCTTTTTATCTGCAATTTCTTCTGCTCCAACTGCACGCCCAGTTAAATACTCATACTCAAACTTTGAGATAGTGATTGTGGAACTCTGGTTAGATGCTGAAGCTCTAGATTGCATTGTAGTCTCTATTAGAGATCTTAACTTTTCTAGAGATGAAGCTTCTGATGCCTTAACTGCCTTAAGTTCTTGCACAGCTGCCTTCAGCCTTTCCTCAGTGAAGTCTATTTCAGACTCAGTTTTCTGGATTTGTGCCTTGATAGTTGCAGTGTCTTCAGTAATAAGCGCCTTCTCTTTCCTTGCTGCCTCTGCTTCTGTCTTTAACTGTTCAAGAGTGAGGGAAAGATTGGTCACAATAGATTCAGCCTTTTCTCCAGCTGCAGTTACTGCTTCTAACTTGGATTTTGCTCTGAGCAGCTTTGAATTGAGACTTTGAACTTTCAAATCTGCCTTCTCTCCTGTTTTCTTTGACCGTGCTGTTTCTTCTTTCACATGTTTCAGCTCATTTCTTATGATATCCATAGAGGACATATACTGAAAACCTTCTTCTCTAATTGAAGCCAATTCTTTCTTAGCTACCTCCAACTCTTTTGTGATTGACTGTAACGAAGGTGAACCTTCCACTTCTGCAGCACTTCGAAAACTGTGTTCAGGTTGCTTCAAGTCATCGCTTCTCTGAACCCGCTTGTCTAGTTTCTTAACTTGCTTCAGCTTATTTTCTAAGAGATTAACGTCAGACAAAGTGACAGCCAATTTTTTTTCCAACTCCTTAGATTGATCAATCTCTTCAATTATTTCCTTCATCTTCTCCTTTGTTTCCTCCATACTAAATGAGAATCCACCAGCTTCTTTTTCTCTTTGAGCTTCAATTTCTCCAACTTCTTTCAGGGCCTCAATCCTGGCCAACTCAACTAACACATGTTCCTCATTAGCTGCCTCAATTTGCGTCCTAAGCGCTTCAACAGAGCTAGCATTAGACCACATTTTCAAGCTTGAGTCTCCAAATTCCTTCTCTGCCCGTCCTTTCTCTTCCCTAACAGAAGCCATATCAAGCTTAAGTTTACTCAATTCTTGTTTTACCAATTCCAATTCTTTCATCACTTCTGCGTACTGATAACTTTCAATACTCCTCACAACCAATGCCTTCTCTTCACGGTTTCCACTCTTCCTTAAAGATTCAATATCTCTCATCTTTGCCTTAGCCTTAAAATTTGATTCCTCAATAATTGAAGCAAGATCCTTAACTGTCTCCCTTGCACTAAAGAGTTCAGATTCTGCTTTAAACTTTGCTGATTCTGCAGCTCTTCTACTCTCTTTGTATCGACTCATATCCCTTCTTGCCATATGAAGCTCTCTTGCTCTTGAAGAAGGCTTCTTAACAGAGTTATCCCATGATGGCAACTTTGTCAGTCAAATTGAAAAATAAATTGAATTGCATAAAAATAAGAGCTTTTTCACAGGAGTAGGAAAATCGTACCTCTGGAAAATCCTCCTGGGGTTTCTTCAGTGAAAAATTACCATCAAGAATCCTCTCTCCATAAATATTAACAGCAGCTTTAACTGTCCCATTTCTTCTTCTATCTTCATACGTTCTCCTATCCATTTTTAACCTGTTCCATTTGTTGAACCAAAAAAAAAAAGCATAAATACTAAACCAAAGGCTGGGAATTCCCATAAAGCAGAATCTTGGTCTACTTCTTTCCGTCAAAACTACACATTATTAACTTCCCATCAACTGTAAACAGGTTAAAAAAATTGCCAAATTGAAACCGCAACAGAGAGTTAAACTAAGTAGCAAGAGATGTAGAGTTTAAGGGAAGTAGACTGAGAACATACCAAGAAACTTTAAGTTGATTTACAACATAGCAAATGGAGCCTGGAAACTTGTAATAATATTGTAGTTTGCAGGAAGAAGAGGTGTTGGGATTAAGTTACAACGGTCGTTAAGTTCTATAAGGCAAATACCGAGAAAATGGAATAAACTATAAAACGGCAGACAGGCAGAAAGAGAAAATAGTGTGAATCCTGATGGCTGGCTAATATTCTTGGATGCAACGGTAGCCATGATCTTTTTTTTGGTAGCCGTTTATTAACCTTTTTGGCTCCAATTATTTGTCAAAGATTTAATATTTTGCTATAGAAACGAGACGGTTTTTTGGCCACAGGTGAATATTCAGGGAAATAAATAAAAGATCTAACCCAGGAACCTTGGCATCTAGCAGTTGGAGGCAACTCTAGAAGATGGGACAAACAATAAAGACATATGATATTGTCTGGAAAATCAATGTATTTTTTTTTATTTATTCTGTTTTTTGGACGAATTAATTTTCTTCAACGATTTCTCTACCATTAACATGCATTAACCGAATTCCATGATGCCAATTAATGAATCCTAAGGCAGTGGAAATGTTATAAATTGAAGAGGCCGTGGAGGACCAAACAGTTATATTACATATAGGAGTAAGTTTTGCTGCATAGCCAATGGTGGATTCAAAATATTTTACCCAAAAAAATCCGAAGGTACAAATGAGCAAAAACGACAAACCAGACACTGAGAAAGGGTTTTGTCATTTGTCATCAAGAGAAAGAGTAAAAGGCAAGTTCACACGTTTGGAGCTGTCGACAGAGCTGAAACTGTGGCAGCAATCAAAGGTAAATGAGCAGCCACGTTTTCAGAAGCTAGTCCATATGACCGGCAAGAAAAGCCAAAGCCATTCAATTTTATTTGTACAATGTTGGTAAAGGCTTAAATACTTCCACCTATGGGTTTTTTGTTTTTTTTTCAAACGAAGAAATATTATAACGGTTTAAATTTAAAATTTTTATTCAAAATCCACATCATCTTTACGACTTAAGCTTAAGTCATTTACCTTATAGTAAAAAATGGATTTTAGCTCATAGACTATTTCGGATTGAACTTGTTAGGTCCCTTATTTAATTTTGATTAAGCAGGTTGGTTTACTTTCATTATTGGTTTAATTGAGTAAAATAATTAATTTTGTTAGTTGGGAGTAGTACTGACTTGGAAGTGATTATGTATAAATTTGAAAAAGTAAAAAAGAACACATGTTTTTATCCAATTCACGTGTTGACATAATTTTAGTAGTTGTATAAATTATAAGCTAAATTAATAAAATTAAATTATGATAAGATTATAATATTATTGATTATGATACAGTTACAATATTATTAGCTTGATTTTTTTAAAAAAATAATTTTATAGTCTAATTAAATGATGAAAACGAATTCCCAAATTATCATACTTCATAAATTCCTTAACACTCACAGGTGAAGAAAGAAGACAAAACACCTCATTTGAACTAAAGCCTTAATTAGCCATCAAGTCGACTAATTGATTACCCTCTCGATGAATATGTTGCATAATAATCTCCCACTGTCTCCACATCAAGCTATGAATTGCATTTATTAAATTTGAGTTATGTCAAGGATGGGGAGGAATAGCCCGAGCTACAAGTTAACTATCCGCTTGTAAAATAATCTCTTGAAGGCCCAAATCCCATGCAAGATTCAAACCTCTATAAACACCCTAGAGGTCTGCTCGGCATGCAGTGCAAACACCCAATCTAGTAGTAAAGCCTATCACATGATTGGCCAGTTGAGTCACGTAGTACACCACTAGCAGTTGCTTGTCCAACAGATTTTTTATACGTACCCTCAAAATTCAATACAATCCAATTATCTGATGGAGGAGACCAACCTATTAGAATTTCCTCACGTCTAGTCATGGATGAAGCTATTTCTCCACAATGCATTCTAGAGGCATTTTGTGTAGCTCGAGCAAAGCTGAATATCGAATTTATACGACCCCTCAACGCCAATACTTTACGTTCAAAAACAAAAGCATTCCTCCACTTCCACAAAAACTAGCAGACAATTCCAAATATAACAGCCCATGGAAGATTATTAACTTTCAGTTTGTTGTTGCTCAAATTAAAAACAATCCAATCGAAGCAAGGAGGAATATTAAGTTGAGTAATCTCACCTTGAGGTAAAAGACAATTCCAGATTGACATTGCTATAGGACATTCACGTAGCATATGCAAGATTGTCTCCTCCTCATCACGACATTGTGGACAAATATCATCATCCTTTTTTTTTTGACGGGGGAATTTTATTGGCCATTCAACTGCTATGCCATTGTGAGTCTCCGGCTAGAGTGCCAGGGACTCCCACTGGCATGAGTACCGGCTTGGCGAAGAAACTGTACAATACACAGCCTACTGCTCGCATATCCTTGGCAGTAGATCCACACAAAAGAACAACCAGCCTTAAGAAGGCCGCAACACAATTAACCACATACAACCAGCAGCAGGAAACAAGAAAAAAGAATCAAAGAAAGACTAAACCCCTAATAACCGGAGCCAAAACCAAATAAAAAGCCCAAATCCTACCAACGTCGTGTTTCAAAACAAAAACAAGGAACACAAGAAAAGAGATCATCTGAGATGCTGGATAGCAGGCCTCACAGCACCATGGCTACATTCAGACCAACATAATCGATCACTTTGGCGTCTCCAAAGACAGCAACAAAAGAGGGAGCAGCCACGAGCATCAACAGAGTAGAAATCCAAAAGAAGAAAAGCAACGACAGAAAGAACAAGGAACCCGAAAGAAAACAGAGCTTACCGGGTCTTCCTATAAATCGAAGTCAACAAAGCAGCACTCCAAAACGAGCCCTTTCCTTGTTAGTCAGCAAATGTTGCTGTAAACATTGTAAGAGGAAGGTCCTGATCCGCTGGGGGTCACGCCACTGCCAAGCTAATTTCCGAGCCCCACAATTACTTCTTTCATCAGCTAGATTTCCTTTCTGTAACATCCCACACGCTGAAGCCACAGAAAAATTCCCTGATGATACGAAAGGACAAAACGGCTTATCTGATGTAGTCATCGAATTGAATTGGATAATAGTTGTAATTCGTCAGCAGGCAGTATGTTAATAAGCTGAGGCATATCCTATTCACCATTGGAAAAAAAAATAATCCTCAACGCAGCTATAATCGATTATATGGAAGCCCATCGATTTTGCCGCATCACACAAAAGCCATTCCCCAAGCCAAGTCTCGTACCAAAATCTTGCCTGACAACCATCCCCTATTGCCCATCTTATGTTCCTCTTGAAAATGTCCCAAAGCCTGGAGAGAGATGACCAAAGTGGAGAAGCTCCTGGCCACTATGCACTATCTGGAATAAAACTTGAACCCATGCTATACTTTTCTCTCAAAACCTTCACCCATAATGCCTCCTATTTAGTGAACAAATACCAACATAATTTAAGAGTAAAGGCATCATTCATAGTTCTCAAACATTTAAGACCCAAACCTCCTTCTTCCTTAAGCTTACAAACTTCTTTCTAACTCATTAAATAGACCTTTCTATTAGTAGAATTTCCTCCCCATAGGAAGTTTCGACAAAGAGTTTCACTTTTCTTACATGTTTCCACGGGGATGGTAATCGTCTGCATTGTATATGTTAAGTTACCAATGTTTACATGAAGTCAACAAGTCAAAGTATTGAATGCATTTTGCTTTGTTGTACTAGTATTTTGTAATTATGCTTGCTGTCATCTCTTGTTGTATGTGTATACTTGCATGTTGTTATATAAGTTATGTCTAATACTTGTGTTTGCATGTCATTACATGTGTAATACATGTATTCTGTGTATATAAGCTTCTATTAATGCTTAATGGAAATATAGTTACACATATATACTTTGCTCTATTTTTTGAAGTTTTTGGTTTTGATGATACTTTTCCTTTCTTAAGCACAATTATAACATGGTATCAGAGCACCCCACGATCCCTATAGGACCTTTGACAACCTTCTTTTAGTTCTCTTAAGTTCTTAATGGCCTCTATAACCTCCTGTTTTTGAGTTTAATCCACTATCACACTGACAACACCAAATATAACCCAACAGCCTGCTCCAGTTTTCGATGGCTTGAATTATGGTGTATAGGTCGTGAGAATGAAGACATATTTGAAATGCTATAATTTGTGGAATGCTGTAGAATAGGATGTTCAACCGCAAGCATCGCGAGAAAGTGCTTTTGTTACACAAGTCAAGCAATATGAAGAAGAGATTGCAAAGAAGTTCAAGGTATTCTCATTTATTCAATCTGCTATATCAAAAGACATTTTCAACAGAATTATGAAGTGTGAGATAGCAAAAGTTGCTTGGACCAAATTGCAAGAAGATTTTGTTAAGACATCTAAGACAAGATGTAGGCCCAAAACTTGAGAAGGCACTTCAATTTGATGCATATGAAGGAAAATCAATCAATGAAATAATACATAGATCAGTTACTTAAGCTTGTTAACCAAATAAAAATGTTTGGTGAAGAGCATAAAAAGGTTCGAACATCTGAAAAAATTCTCAACAGTGTACTAGGGAAGTTTGAAGCTACAATAGCCTCCTTGTTACAATCAAAAGATTTTCTTAACATCTCAATTACAAAAATTGTTAGTGCTCTGCAAGCAATTGAATTGAGAATATCAATTAGAGATAAGACTTATGTGAAGAAGGCCTTGTTTGTTAAAAACAAAGGTAAAGCCTTTGTTGAGATATCTACCAGAAAAAATTCTAAAGAGAAGGACAAAAGAAATTCTCTCATATAGGTCAGTTTTCTAAAAAAACAATAAGTTCAAGGTATGCTCTTTTTGTAAGAAACGAAATCATCATGAAGAAAATTGTTAGTTTAAACTTGATGCTAAGAGTAAGATATGTAATCAACTTGGTCATGTTGACAAGGTTTGTAAAAATAAGCCAATTGTTTAAGAAAAAACTCCATAGATGACTAATAAAGTTGAAGTAATAGAAGAGACTCTGTTCATGGCTTTAACTAGTTCTTAGTACAAGATTGATAATGATGAATGGCTTTTTAATAGCAGATGTTTGAACCATATGACTTCCTCTGAAGCTGAGTTTATCAGTTTGGACAAAGATTTTAAGTCGAAAGTAAAAAAAAGGTAATAGAGTTTATTTTCATGCAATGGGTAGACACTGTAAGAGTGAAATCTCTATCGAGGTTTAGATATATTTTTGAAGTTCTCTTATTTCCTTCTATAACTCAAAATCTATTGAGCGTTGGGCAGATG